TTTCCTTTTTGCTAAAGCATATAGTTAGGGCTGGACCAGGTGACCCTGAATCCTCCCTTAGTTATGCTGCAATAGACGTAGGCTGCCGGGGGATTCCCATGATGCACTGGGTGTTGCTTCTTCACTCACCTTTAGACTCACTGTGGTTATCCATCACTCTGGATTCAATTATTAGTCATTATTAATCTCTGGCTCTCTTTTTCCTGTTAAAAAGGAGTTTTTCTTCTCAACTGTTGCTAAAATGCTTGTTCATAGAGGGTCATATGACTGTTGGGGTTTTCTTTGTATTGTAGGGTACTTTACATATCTTACAGTGATTTGATATAACTTGTTGTGATTTGGTGCTATATAAATAAAACTAAACTGGCTTGCTCCCATGTGATTGGCTGATAAGACATTTGCATTAATGAGCAGATGCTAGCTAGTGGTGCAAGTTGTGTTGTTAAATATTGACACTGACCTTGTTCCCAGGACTTATATCCAAGTCTTCGATCTCTCCTTCATGTGCTTTGAAGTCAAACTTTTTCTTCAGGGAAGGAAACTGAAACAGGACATACCAGGTGAAGACGTTTTATTCTTCCACTGCAGCGTCTTATAACATCTCCCTCCACTAAATACTGAGCTCAAAAACAATAAATACATTATTATGGTTTATAGTGAAATCACGTTCTTTCCACTTGCAGATTATCACCCCAGTGCTCATGGTTACCTTCAGTAACCACTGTTGCCGACAACAACAAGACGTGCACTGAATGATTGCTTCCTAATGACTGAGATTCCAGCTGGTTTCATGCCTTTCTTTGTGTTTTCAATGCTCCCCTGTGTCATTTCTCATTATTTAACATAATATTAACATTATAGAGAGCTATGCTTGATTTCTTTGCATGCATGGATTGGATGGGCTGTTACCAACATCTGTAGTAACACCTTTAGAAATATATGTACTTAGGTATTTGTCGCTTTTGTTATTTTTTATTTTACCTGTTTACTGAAACATTCCAGTTATAGTTACATTATGAATATGGACATAGTGTCATTTGAGGTTATCCACATTCAAACTGGATGAAGGTTTTAGGAGTTTCAGCTCCTTAACATGTGCCACCCTCTTTTTAAAGGGACCAAAAGTAATTGGACAACTGACGAAGGCCATTTCATGGGCAGGTGTGGGCAGTTCCTTCGTTCTGTCATTATCAAGCGGATAAAAGACCTGGAGTTGATTTGAGGAGTCGTGCTTGCATTTGGAAGATTTTGCTGTGAGCAGACATGTGGTCAAAGGAGCTCTCTGTGAAACAAGCCACCCTTAAACTGCGGAAAGAGAAAACACTCACACTGTTAGGAGCGGCAAAATCTACAGTTTGGTGCATCCTGAGAAAGAAAGCAAGCACTGGAGAACTCAGCAACTCAAAAAGACCTGGACGTCCACGACAACAGTGGTGGATGATCGCAGAATCATTTCCATGGTGATGAGAAACCCTTCACAACCAAGCAACATTCTCCAGGAGGTAGGCGTATCCAAGTCTACCATAGAAGACTACATGAAAGTAAATACAGAGAGCTTACTGCAAGGTGCAGGCCGCTCATAAGTCTCAAGAACAAAAAATCTAGACTGGAGCTTGCAAAAAAAGAAAAAAGAAAAGAAAGCGAAACAAAAGAGAGCACACCTAAACAGCCAGCAGAGTTCTGGAAAAGCATTCTTTGGACAGATGAAACCAACATCCACCTCTACCAGAACGATGGCAAGAAAGAAAAGCATGGAGAAGGTGTGGAACAGCTCATGACCCAAAGCCATCACATCTGTAAGCACAGTGGAGACTGATGGCTTGGGGGTGCTGGGACACTGGTGTTTATAGATGTGACACAGACAGAAGCAGCCAAACTAATTCTGACGTGTTCAGAGACAAACTGTCTGCTCAAATGCAGCCAACGCCAGTCAAATTGATTGGGGGGCGTTTCATAATACAGATGGACAATGACCCAAAAACACACAGCCAAACAAACCCAGGAGTTTATTAAAGAAAAGAAGGGGAATATTCTCAAATGGCCAAATCAGTCAGCTGATCTTAACCCAATTAAGCATTTAACTATTGAAGACTTTGGACAGAAAGACCCACAAACACACAGCAAAGCTGCTGCAGTAAAGACCTGGCAGAGCATTAGAAAGGAGGAAACCTGCTCATGTCCCTGAGTTCAAGACTCCAGGCTGTCATTCCCAGCAAAGGGTTCTCAACCAAGTACTAGAGATCCAGGGCTCGCAAAGTTTCTAAATCCCTGCTAGCCCTTCGGCCAGTCACTCTTCAGTTTTTGGTAGCCCAAAGTAAATTTAAGTAGCCTGAATAAAAAAAGATTATAATATTATACAATAAAAATAAAGGAAACAAAACATCAATCAAAAAAATGTTAAAACAAAAATGACAACAACTGTATATAAATTACAATCATCAACTCAAACACTTGGTTCTAACTGAACAGAAATTTCTGTGAACTTGTAAGAACTGTGTAGGACATGAATCAGCCTGTGTCAGATCCTGATCTGACATTTCCACTCAAGTCACGGATGAGAAAATGCCACTCGACGTTGAGGGCATAGCATCTCCTTCATCAGCTTTCTCTTCCTGTGCATTGCCCTCCATTTCACTGCTCTTTGTTCTTGTCGGGGTTTTATGATCCAGGTGTCTTGAACCTTTTCAAGAAAACATCCAGAAACGAATCGACTTGTCAGGGCAAAAAGATTCAACCGTTTCCCCATTAATGGAGAGTTGCATGCAGTCATTCAGTGTTTCAGGGTGTAGAGAGGTACGATGTTTGTCTTCACTCGGTTCATGCAAGAAAATCCTCTCTCACAGATGGCTGTCGATGGACTAAGTGTCAGCATTAATTTCACCAGCAACAAGATATGAGAGAGATGTTCTGGATTCTCAGAGAGGAGATCTCTGTACAAGCAATCTACTTTGCTACCCCGGCGCTCTGCAAGCCACACTTTTAGATCCATCCATTCTTGTGGAATTTTCTCTTTCTCATCTAGCAAACAGGCAAAATGTGTGACAGGATAATCCACCTCTTCATCCCCATAATTTGCTAGTTCTTCTCTGGGGTGGGGAAGAGTGGAAGGGTCAGAAACCTTGAAACTAGAGAGAGGCTTTTCATGGAGATTTTTAAATCTGTTGTCCATGTACTTGACTGTGTTGTCAATAATCTTCTGGATCTCTGCACCAAAGGTGCCTCTGCCTGTGCCCTCACCTCTGCTAGCAGGTCGCTGACTTTTTGTTAGCTGAGTTCCACAGTAGCAAATGCTACCATCCTGGTTCGCTGTGAACTTTGTGTCCAAGCTTTTCTGATATTCTCCTGGTTTTGTTTTTAGGCTGAGTAAGCGTGATGTTGTGCTCTCAACTAACTGATTTGTTCGTGTGATGTTTAGGTTATCATGCTGAAAATCCGTACAGCACTTGGATAAGATGGTACTGTAGTCCAACATGAAACGCAGGAAGCGAACAAATTTCTCAGTCTTCATCTCCTGCACCACCCCTTAGCCTCGGCTGCATCCTCGGCTTTGACATCACTTCCTTCTGCCATGAACAACAGTGGGAGTGTAATTGTTTTCCACAGCCTTCAGTCATCTCCGCCGGCTTGGAGCCACCGTGTGCTCTTCAGCCCACTGAAAGGTGCCAGCTTCTCATTTAGCAGCTCACTTATCTCTGTCAGCTCTCTTCGCTTCTTTGGGGAATAGTAGTACATCTTAAAGATGGTTTTCAGTGTATCTTCAAATTTCACCAGGTACTCACAGCCTTTCACGCTATCCAGCACGGCTAGCTCTAGTTTGTGTGCCACACAGTGGATTGTTGTGATGTGGGGCATCCTCTGTTTCAGTCTCCCAGCTACTCCTGTTTACTCCATCATCACTGCAGCGCCATCAACAGTTGCACACACTACTTTCTCTTTCCACGTATCTTCTCTGATACCCATGGTGTTCGCTGCTTCATCAAAAGCCTCTAAAATACCTGCAGCATTTGCACTCTTGACTGGCTGAAGTTTGATCATGTATGTGGCTACGTCACCATTATCCCTCACATACCTGACATGAACCAGCTCCTGTTCTATTATACCAGTGTCTGTACTGCCATCTGCAAGAATGGATAAGAACCTGCTTTCTTGAATTTCCTTTTCAATCCGGTGTCTTGAAATTTGTGCTGCTGCTCCAATAAACTCTGCGAGCATGGTCACTGAGGCAAGTGGAACCAAGATCGAGGCCATTTGCTTTCTGAAGTTTGCAAAGACGGCTAAATTTTGCCAGTGGTAGTTCACTCTTTGCAACATGGTACGCAGTTCTGGTACAGCTTCTTCAGGACTTCTTGTTGTGCTTGGTTTATTTTTAGTATGTTTTTTGCAATAATGCATTTCTTGTGATGCACAGATGTCTCACGGGTTCTGATGGGGTCTTCCCTAAAATTACTGGTCCCAGTAACAAAGGCGCTTGTCGACTCAAAAACTCACGACACACCCTGCAGAACATGATGTTATTTCGCTCGTCATATCCCAGCCACAGAAATTCTTTTGTCCATGAAACCAAAAAAGATGCGCTTTCTTTTTGCCTCGTAGTCTGATTTGTCAGAACTTTTCGGCGTTGTGGTCGGCTTTTCACTCACCAGTCAGTACTGCCGCTCTTTATACAGTTTGTGCGATCACAAAATGAGAGGCTCATCGATGCTAATGACACAATTACCCAGCTACATTTGCAAAAGCACCTTCCTATGATAGCCCGACAGGCAGGGCTGAGATAGATTTTAGTAACCCGACTGGAAAAAGCCCCGGGGACATCGGACTAGCGATTTTGCGAGCCCTGAAATCAATACTTTAGTTATTAGTTTATTTATTACTTTTGAGCCGCTGAAGTGACGGGATTGTGTTTTTGAAAGAAATGCTTCAGTTTATGCAATCTTTTTGTTCCACACACTGCATGAAGGCTGAAAGTGTTCTTCATTGTGGTAATGTTCAGAACCAACATTAGAAGAAAACACCGTCTCTGTCTATGCGGAGCTAACTGTATATGTTTAACAGCTGTGGCTGAAACGATTGAGTCTTACCTCCCAGACTCTGATGTGCCCATCGGTGCCTCCAGTTAGCAGCAGGCTCTGGTCAGGACTGAACCTGACGACTTTCTGAAGCGGATCCTGAGGGTTCAGGTCTGACTGCACTTCAGCTGAAGCGGTCACAGAGATGTGAATCGTCTCGTCCTTCATATCTGACATGTTTCCAGATGGTGTAACTCCATCCTGTCCACACTTGTCTCCTTTCCCAGCTCGTAGCCTGGCGTTACCCTGCTGCTTGCTTTTCCCTGCAGCACAGAGGACACTTTTTATTTGAACAGAAGGTGTTCAGTCTTTGTCTCAGACCATAAACCCCTTTTCTTCGTGCTCAGTGCTGTAGCTGCTGTTTGGGAAATATAACATTAAATTGAATCAGACACAAAGAGGTGTCATTTTAGCATATTTAGCTTGTAGCAGTGTGCCTCACCATCTTTATTAGCATCTTTGGCTTCTTTCTGCGTGCACTCTTTAAACTGCATCAGACAGCAGGTCCCATCCTGTCCTGCAGCAATCACACCTTTACCTACAGCCATGTTCATGGTAGCACGTGTGTCAGTATCATGGGAGTGAAGGAGACTGGCACTGTGCTGGTATTCCCCAACGAGCTGCAGATCCAGGAAGTGCTGTAAAACACAAACATCAGTCTGCTACTGTTGTACTATGGATACAAACTCAGTGTGCATCATGTATCAGGATACTCTCACCAAACACACTCAAAACACTATTTTTGTTAGTTTGTTTCCAGAGAGTCAAGAAATACAAGAAGAAAAGCACAAGTGAACAGAAGAACTCATGTGTGCATGTAAGCCGCCTGCTGTCTGTGATCATCCTGGTATACGTTATTAGATCACATAAATGAGCCTTATCAGGACAATGACACAGCAACACTACAGCGACTGTACAACACCCATCTTCAGTACTGACCACAGCGTTCTTTATGCCCGTCTTGGAGGCCCCCCCTCCTCCTGCTATGATCACCAGCCCTGTGTCAGGGTCCACTTTCACAGAGTACAAGGGGAAGGGGGCTCTGTACAAATCTGGAACCTTCTTCTTCCCCATTGTTCCTCACAAAGCTGCCAAGACACACCTGTGGAAAACAGAGTAAGTTCATCTGTGACGTCGTCTGTCCTCCCTCTGCTGGAGCTACAGAGGTTACACTGAGCGATGCCGATGGCGTCCCTGAACTTTATTAAACAGTGCAACCATTAACCATCTTAGTCACGTCTAGTCCAGCAGCTTCCATTTCCAATCAAACAAAATGATACAGCATAAAATAATGACCTTCACTCTGGCTGCTTGGAAGGCTTTGTGACGTTAAGAGCACGCTGCTGGAAACAGGTGTTTTGCTGGTGTTGACATGAAATCATATTAACAATAATTCAGGGTCCAACCTTACAACCCTCAGGTTAGTGGCTCAGAGTTTAATGGCCCATGTACGTTTTTTCTGGCTTGTGAAAAAGAAAGCTTTTATTTTAAAATGTTTAAATATTAATGCAATATTTTATATTATTCCACTTTCAAGTTGAAACATGTTCAGAAAGCCGTGGAACCCCATGCCCCCTTTAGACTCGCCCGTCTGCTGCAGGTATCGGATATAAAACCGGAGCTGTGAGCTGCATCATTTCACTGTGTTAAACAGCAGCGACCACGTTTGCCCGTCTTCACTCCTGAGTTTAAGGCTGGCTTTTCCCAGTAAAGGCTTTAATGACGATTTCAGGAACAGTGCTGCAGACTCTATATCTCTCCCTTTGTCTCACATACTTTCAGTCCACAGTATAACAGAGCTCCAGACCGCTACGCCGAGCATTTTAGTGGGTAAAAAGATTTAGTGTTGCTTTTGTTTTGTTGCCTCACCAGCACACCTGTTTGCACTTTTATTTGCACCAGAGTTGAAGGTCAGAAGTGAAACCGACTATACGTGATGATCATCAACTGTTCCCTTAATGTTTTTTGAGCAGGTTATATTTCTAGCAAAAGACTAACCATTATCAGTTTAAGCTCCTCCAATGTGCTCTTTCTTCTGGCTTCTTTTATTATAACTATTTTCAAGTCATCCAATATAGTGCAAAAAATACAGGTTTAAACAGGAGCTTGCTAACCTCGGGAAAGTCCTCATAAAGTGTTGTTGTGTGTGTTGCTGTTCAGCTGCTGGTGAGGGCAGCAGCTGTGTGCCTTCCTGTGTGCAGCTGTGCGACGCTTTGTTACCCTGAGGAGGCAAAAACAGCATTTAGATATTAATACAACAGTATGAGTAGAGTGAGGGGTTTTATAACACTGGAGCCAACAGGCTGAAAAACAGAGCAGACTGATGGACAAATCATTACAGGTCGAGTTGAGTGTGAAGCAGAAGCATGTGCACACACAAGTTTTGCATGAATGTTCATGCTGAATAACTGGGTGCTGGTTAGAATCTGCATGATGCTTCAGCTTCCTCTAACCCCAACCCTGGATTATTTTATTATGTAAATACAGCTATGATTAGCACTGTTTCCCACCTGAGACATTGAGGTTTGTTCTCATCACAAACACTACATGCATTAGCCTAATATACACGCTGTAGCCCTGCTCTAAAACATGTCATAAATGCCAAACAATCAAGCACAATGTTATGTAGCATTATTTTCCTCCTGTAGCGATGCTGAAGGCGCTTAACTCTCGCTTCCCTGACAGTGTTAAAGCCGTGACTGTGTGTGTGTGTGTGTGTGTGTGTGTGTGTGTGTGTGTGTTTAAGGCTCTATGGTGTAAATTACACTTAATATATGTAGTGTTTCACATCCACTTTAAACGGCCATGAATTGTACGCAGATGAAATGCTTAAAGCTAATTAAATTAAGTACTATATAAAAGCCACTCTATTCATTGGAATGAAACCTGCGTGGCTGATGTCCTCTTCCTTCATGTATTACTAGTTTCTGGGTTAATGTAGTAATCGTGTTTCTTGAAGCAGCTGATGATGTGCTGGCGTGTCGGACTGAGAAAGCTACTGAGTCCCATATAAGCTTGAAAAGAAGGTCAATTGGATTTTTGAACACGTTTCGTCCCTTCTCCAAGACGTTTGTTCAGTTTTAAGGGAAATGAAGGAGAGATCAAACGGAAGAGGCGAAATGTCGTCACAGAAGAAAAACCCTGAAAATAAGTGCAGTTACCTTCCTTTCAAGCTCTAAGGCTGCTGTAACCTGGACGGCTGAGAAGCTACACAGCCGGCCTGTCACAGGACTCTGTGCTTTAAAGAGCAGCTGAGCAGCGACTGAATGAAAACCCATGAGGTGAAAGGAAACGGTGGCAGCGACGGAACCAGAACCATGTTAATTTAAACCGCTACGGTTTGCTAATGTATAGCATTCGGCTGTATTTGCTACAGTTAGCGCTTTAGCTCTGCCGGCTAGCCGGTCAGTGATTTAAATGTTGGACACCTACCTGTGCTGATAGTCCTCGCTATCCTCGGCTCGTTTTACCATCGAGGTACGAGCTCAATCTAATGATTTCATTCTGAACTGTCGCGGAAAGAACTAAACGATATCCACTGACACTTCCACGCACATACACGTCAGCAGCTAACCAGGCGTTAAGATTTCTTCTTCTTTCTCTTAAAAGAAGGAATGGCGGTGGGCAAACAGCGAACGGTGCATCATCGCCACCGTCTGGTGTCGTGTGTTGACTTGATTCCAAGAAGTAGGTTCAACAAACGGAGTTTAAAAATAAATTCCAAGTTGAACAACTCCGAGCTTCCTGCTCCACAACAGCTGATCAGAGTGAATTCAGTGTGGTTCAATGGAATGACGCACTGAAGCGCTCAGGTTCACTCTGCTGAGTGCCATAGTAGGGGGGGAAAGGCATGATCAATAGAGCCCCGAAACTACGATTCAACATAGCAACGGGTAAATAAAGACCAGTGCTGACCATGACAGGAGCATCTTGTCATCATACACTGAATAAAATTTGATATAAAAGGTATCATTTTATTATAATGTCCATGCTCATCATTTAGATTAAGCTCAATCCTAATTTTACATTTCGTTTTAAATCTAATTATTCAAACGTGACCTCAGTAGATTAAATGTAGGAGGCAGAACATGAAGATCAAATGTGGAGAAAGATCTTATTTCATTACAAATGCCTCAGCGTTTATGGAGCTGTGTGTATGCAGATCAAAGTAAGCTGCTGTGAACAGATCCAGATGCCATGAGCTGGGACAGTCTGAGCATCTGCAGACACGCTCACACAGTTAATCTGTTTATCCTGCACAAAACTGGCCTGGATTTTCATGCAACGTTTTAATAACACAAGTTAGTTTGTTTTTCAGGATGTTTCACATGATGAAAACACATAATTTATCAACACACATTACATGTCATTTGCAGTTCTTCTCTTCTTCCTCTCCTGTCTGCTTTATCTCTTTCTCCATCTCTGACTAAAGTTATTGTAGATCCTCTGGTTAAATGATCACTGTGCACCATTTGTCTGTTATGAGCCACCGTGCCTGTGTTGGCTAATCCAATCAGAACAGAACATGGAATATACTTTTTGATCACCAGCCCTGTGTCAGGGTCCACTTTCACAGAGTACAAGGGCAAGGGGGCTCTGTACAAAACTGGAACCTTCTTCTTCCCCATTGTTCCTCATAAAACCGCCACGGGGGCAGTAACAAATATACGATGACTGGGAATCAAACCTCTACATAATAGAGTCATTTTTGACCAGGACATGTCCTTCAACGCACATATTAAACAAATATGTAAGACTGCGTTCTTCCATTTGTGCAACATCTCTAAAGTTAGAAATATCCTGTCTCAGAGTGACGCTGAAAAACTACTTCATGCATTTATTACTTCCAGGCTGGACGACTGTAATTCATTATTATCAGGATGTCCTAAAAACTCCCTGAAAAGCCTTCAGCTGATCCAAAATGCTGCAGCAAGAGTCCTGACAGGGACTAGAAAGAGAGAGCAGATTTCTCCTGTTTTGGCTTCCTGTTAAATCCAGGATTCAAAATCCTGCTCCTCACATACAAGGTCTTAAATAATCAGGCCCCAGCTTATCTTAATGACCTTGTAGTACCATATCACCCTATCACCTTCGCTCTCGCTCTGCAGGCCTACTTGTTGTTCCTAGAGTATTTAAAAGTAGAATGGGAGGCAGAGCCTTCAGTTTTCAGGCCCCTCTTCTGTGGAACCAGCTTCCAGTTTGGATTCAGGAGACAGACACTATCTCTACTTTCAAGATTAGGCTTCAAACTTTCCTTTTTGCTAAAGCATATAGTTAGGGCTGGACCAGGTGACCCTGAATCCTCCCCTAGTTACACTACAATAGGTCTAGGCTGCTGGGGCTTCCCAGGGTGCACAAGTGTTTCTCTTGAGTCACTGTGGGCCAATAATGGCTCCTCCTCATCAGACTGAAATGCCACCCTGAGTTTGTGTTGGCTCTCGTATATTTGGCAGGACAATGAGCTGCCTGGTCTCTTCCCCATCACGAGGGTCTTGAACATGCCTGTATCTGTTCACAGGTCCCAGATGCTGCCTCGATCTCCTTCTGTGGACATATTGTCTGCATCTCCCTCTTTTCATTGTTGCTTCCTCCCTCATGTTGTGTGACCTTCTGTCTGTTTAACCTCAAGACAGTTTGTTCCTGTTCAGTTCAGTTATTGATTTTGGTTTGCTTTTCCTTTGGCAGGACCCCTTGGTGCCTCGGTTTGATAGGGCGGTGACTGTATAGTGATACAGTGTGTTACTCTGGTCATACAGCCTGTGGTCTGTGGCAGCTGCAGAGAGGGGTGGAGCAGTGGGCTCTGGGTGTGTGTCAGGGGAGGCTGATCCACACAGCTGTTCTCCATATCCTAATCATGTCTCCTCTATGAGTAGGATGCTGGGACTGGATAGAAGAGCTTTCTGCTGCACTGAAGGCAACTGGAAAGCTGCCCAAGGAGAGGAGCATTGGGCTGGAGAGAGTGGGACTGAAAAGCCTGCCAATAAATGTGATGCACACTGGTTTGCACACATAAAAACAGTCACATGCTGGAAAAACTGTCAGTCTGGGTCCTTGCTAAAGTGGTGCCAAAACCCAGTCATGTTGTGACAGATCCCGGATGGCGGCTGACCTGGTGGCTATGCATCAGGAGGCGACTGTGGTTCAGAGGGTTGGGAAGCTCGTCTTGTAACCGGAAGGTTGCCTGTTCGATCCCCTGCTCTCTCTGTCCTGGCCGTTGTGTCCTTGGGCAAGACACTTCACCTACCGCCTAC